ACGTTGTATCCCGTCTCCGGAAATGAAACTTACTGGGCGGGATCATCGCCTTTGGATCGAGAACCTCGGGAGGTATCACCCGATGATGCTCAGGTATTTGCCCTATGGGCGCATCGTCTTCTTCCTCCGGTTGCGTACTCGGCGAAGTCGTGAGAGTTGTCGTACGTGATGGAGGTTCTGGGGCTGGGCGAGGAAACTTGGATTTCGCGAGCGCGTAGCTCTTGAAGAACTCCTCAAAGCTGGCGCGCTCGGCTGGTCGACGCTTGAGTAAGGCGCGTATGAGGTCTTTGATGTCGGATGGTACAACAGGAATTTCTTCTGGTTTGTTTGAAGACGTTGCGGGTGGGGTAGAGGGAATTGACGTTGCGCGAGCAGGGTCCTCATCAGGAAATTTAACACCTTTTGAGTGCTCAATTTTCTTGAGGAGTTCGACATGATTCTGTGCGCGAAAAGGTGGCTTCCCGACACACATCTCGTACAGTACGGCGCCAACGCTCCAGAGGTCAGCTTTGGCATCATATTTCTCATACCGCAAGATCTCCGGGGCCATATATAGTCTGGCCATATATCTCAGCTTAGATCATTGGAAGTCAAACTAGGTGAAGAACATACGGCGAACCACAGAGCGTCTCAGCCATCATTGCATTTGGGAGTGACCGGGCAAATCCGAAGTCGGCAACCTTCAGTATTGGTACACCGATGGGATGCCCCTTTGCTAGCTCCTCAGGTGAAGCTGGGGTGAGTAGGAGGTTCTGCGCAGGTTTAATCTCCCCGTAACCAAGGATAGAAAAAGCAGCTTTACCTGTGGCTTGATGTCTCTGTGGATGAGATTTCGGGTTCGCAGGAATTTGAGTGCTCGGGCTGACCATTCCAGTTATATGCAAAGTTCTTGCAGCAATGTGAAAGACTTACCTAGCTGGCGGAGAAAACTGCGGACAACAATCTCGTCCAAGCCTCCTGATCTGGGGTGAGGGTAATACTGTAATGCGGCTCCTGGAGATGGCGCATATTCAAGACCTTCGACGCGACCTCGCTTCTTAATGTAATTCGTTAGATCCCCCCCTGCGCAGTATTCCATGATGAGATATATGTTGCGCTCCGCTCGCTGCAAGAGTGACAGTTAGCGCCACAGGCGAACTGTACTGTCCTGGAACAGACCAGCACACCACCACACATGTACGGATACATCAGGATCGTAGCGACTAAGTTTGATCATTTCGCAACAAGTCCTGTAAATCTCCGGAGTGTGGTGGAATGCTGGTCGCTATGGGCGAGTAGGGGAATGCCACATACGACGATATCAATAAGCTTGGTAATATGACGGTGAGATAATGATTTTAGAATCTCGATTTCACTCTGCAGATTGTCGAGCAGTTTGGCAGTGAGGATATCCCTACGAACAGATTTGATCGCAACTTGGTGGTGTGTCTCCTGGTGGAACCAGTCATGCTTCAGAGAGCACAATCAAGACGCAGTAGCAGAACACAAACCTCATGGTATCCCTTATATACGGTGGCAAAGCTTCCCTTTCCTATGTCGCTTACGATGACATATGGACGTGCTTCGTCTTCCTCCGCTGTTCGTCTGGGGGTAGACTTGTCGGGGGCCATGCTTGGGGAGCGCCTAGTTAATGGCGACGCCAAAGCTGGCATACAGTGATGAGAATGTGGTTGTGAAGGGAGAAGAAAGACGTATAGAAAGGCGAGGGACGGTAGACTTGCTAATTAGCCTTGGAGGGGCCCACAGGTTCAGTCACTTGAAGGAGGCATCCTGCTTGCATCGCCCAGTTTGGCAATCTGTTCCTCAAGAAGCATTTCCAAATGACTAAGCTTTCCCTTTAGTCACCACCAGTATCAGCAAGTAACTTTGTCTCCTCGCGGTTAATTTACCTTGACTTTGATAAGTCGTTCCATATCCCGGGGATCTGGTGCTTGTCGGTGAGTCTGACGGGAATTCAAATGGCATCACTCAAACATCTGTTAGATGTCCTACCCGACGACTCCGTGCCACTTCAATCAACTTCCAGATGAATTACTGCAAATAATCTTCATTCGCTGTGCGAATGTCGACGGCGTACGATACAAAAGGATCAACATCCAGTCCTGGGACCATAAGATAATGCGAAAGTTCCACCCCACCTTTGCGCCTCTCCTCCTGACCTTGGTTTGTCGCAAATGGAGGGCCGTAGCTCACGCTACACCTCGCCTTTGGCATCGTGTCTTAGTTCTCTGGCACTGCGCTTTCACTTCACGAGTCACATTCCAATCTTTCCTGACTGCTCTGGATCAGTGGTTTCAGCGCTCTCAAGACTTGACACTCACGGTCAGGATCGATTGCGAATCTGATTATTATCCGAGCGGTTCTGAGTCTGAGTCCTCTGATGGCGGCCTGTCTGAGGACTCGAACCCTGGGTATGCAAGGATGACATCGGCGGAGTTCCTCTCCGTGATTCATAGACACACTGCTCGCTTCAGAATTGTCAGCGTAAACGCAGGTCTAGCACGAAAACTATTTCCAAGCAAACTTCCAGTTCCAAGTCTGACAAGGCTGGTGCTCATGCCCACGGATGGCCCCGAAGTCCCCAACATCGGATCCTTTGATGGCATCGCAGGGATCCGCCATCTGGTTCTTGACGATTGGGAACCTTCATTCTTCCACGAACACCGCCTACTCCAGGGTCTGAGAATACTAGATCTCGGAACCGCGCCGGCAGCAGACATGATGGCCAATATCTTGCAGTTATGGACTTCTCTTACGACTCTTCGCGTTTCTGGAGCCGGCTTTCTGTCTCCACCCCAGTCAAAACTTGGTGTCGTCAGACATGAAGCGTTGGCATCACTTGCATGGCTATTCTACTCTCATTCTCCGCCGTCATTCACTTCCTTCGAACTTCCTGCGCTGCGCAGTGTCACCGTCGGGCTGGCAACTAGAACGACAACCATCGATTTATCTGGCTTTTTCGCTATGCTATCACGCTCTTCGTGCACTTTGGATAAATTCAAGGTTAGGTCTTCTACAAAAGGTTTCTCTCTCCCCGAAGCCCAGGTCCAGGAGCTACTTACAGTGGCCAAAGTAGTGCATGTTAACGATCAGACATTCACACGCCCGTGATATTTAGATCATTACTGGCTTTCCTATGGACAGATACCTATATTGTTTCATCATTCGTTTCTTCAGTCACACTGTGGGGGGTATACCTAGATCGTAACTTGAGACCACTGCAATTGAGGGGGAGCAATGTCTAACAGTAATGTATCCGCCGTTCCTTGTCAGTATATTGGATGGCGGCATCTCAGTGGGGTTTGCTTTAAGGCTTCTCGCCATGAAGTAGATGCATGGTCACCTATCGATATGTTGACAGAAGTGAGGGCTTGGGTGCTTTGCTCCCACACACGGTTCTTTCACCCTAACTCTGATCTCGAGTAGGTTGGGCGAACGCGTAGGCGACCGACCACTCAGGTATGTTACCGTATGTAAGGCGGATCCCAAATGTCAAGCAACTCACTGCACTTCTGGGACTGCATAATTCTAGATCTGAATCAGTCAGTAGTACGTCGATGATGGAGGCTGAGGACAACCTTCCATGTTTCATCGGACAACTCCCAGACGAGCTTCTCCAGCAGATCTTTGTGTGCTGCGCCGAAGTAGATGGAAAATCTTTTGACCACATCGGAATCGTACAGTTACCGAGTCCTCTCGTCGCACCCCTCCTGCTGATGCTAGTTTGTCTCAAATGGAGGGAAGTTGCGCACGACACACCTCATCTATGGCACCGCATCCTCATTCCCATGAGGCGTGACCCAACTACCGTACCAGAAATCGTGCCCTTCGTTAACGCATTGCAGAAGTGGCTCAGGCGTTCTAAGAACCTCCCGCTCACCATTCGCATTCAAGACCGCTCATCGCACTTTGAAGAGCCGGAATCAGACCTCTCAGAATGCAACTATTCATCCGATGACTTCGATTATGAAGGTTACCATCACAGAGTCGAGAACCGCGTAAACGTAGCCTGGGAGGAGATATTCCCGGTTATCCATGATCACTTCTCTCGCTTTTCGAGAATCAGCGTCGACAAAGACCTCGCGCCGCTCCTCTTCCCTCCATATACGTCTCAACAAACCCCTGCATTGAAGGAGCTGGTTCTGACGGACCAAAGTGGAGGATTACTTGATCACAGTGATGATCCCCTTCACATAATTGGCACTGTCAAGCGCGTTCGCCACCTGGTCCTCGACACATACATCGATGGTTTTTTCAGACGCCGTCATCGCGTCTTCAAGAAGCTGAAATGTCTATCTTTGATGCACCCGCCAAATACAGACGAGATCATCAAGGTCCTAGGGCGCTGCTCTTCCCTTTTATTCCTCCGCCTTGGAGATTCATGGACATACCATTCCTCTATGCCAGATATCTTCAGACATGATGCTTTGACGATTCTCATTGCCGGCTCAGAGTCGCAGGGAACCAGCATGGACAACCTCTTCGATCGCCTGGAGCTCCCTGGGCTACACACAATGGTCCTGCTGCATCCAGAACCACTCGTCAAGACCTGCTCCTCTGTCATTGCCATGTTGAAGCGCTCATCTTGCACACTGGGTTTGTTTAAGGTCATTGACACTCCGGGACTAGTCATTCCGGAAGAGTCATTGCGGGAGCTGCTTACAGTGGCAGAAATGGTGCAGGTCAATTTCGAGAAACCTTACTCGCGTAGCCAGGCTCAGGACTTGGATGATCACCCATTAGACAAACAATAGCAACTGCATTCAGTCTTGTTCACCCCAGGAGTGCGCGCGATCCGCAGCCCGCTACAGCATCGCTCCCACTATGTACATATCTCAGTCCTTATTATGCCAGTAGCACGGTATCTACTACCGGACGCGCATTTGTTTTGCACCAACAGAGACTGGTGTGATCCTGTGGCACATTTGAGGCAGTGGCCCGAAGCACACTTGCAAAGTGCTGACTGTTTGAGTACAGGGGCCCCGTTAACGATCAACAAGGGGCTTTTGGCACAGTTGGTAGCGCGCATGCTTCGCATGGTGATCCAGTGTCACATGATTGCATGAGGTCGTGGGTTCAACTCCCACAGAGTCCAGGTTTTTGTTTTGGTACGACAGAATTACCAGGTTCTTTATGATGTAGACCGGTTGTGTAGCAGAATTTTAATCACTGTATATATCCCAAGACATGATGCGACGTGTGTCAATTTTACCTCCTGTGTTAGTTGCAGGCCAATATCAAATTGCATTGACGCCTCGATCTTGTGCGTGTTCGACCCACCGCTAAACCGATCTTTCTTTCTCCTCTCCTCTCGATTTTCACCGCCCAGCACGAGGCGTTCCACCGGCTTCATTTCTGGCTTTTTCTGGGTAGTACATGCAGCGACGTTCAGGCCTTGGGAAGGGTCTGGCACGCATCTCGCCTCCGTCTCAGCATCCTCTTACCGGGATGGGCATCGACCCATCGACTCGCTCACGATGGCACCAGCGCTCCTTCGGTGTACCCAACCGCATATGGGCAGTCCTACTAGTCTTTGTGTCTATCGTGACGCTCACCCGCTACGTTCTACCCTCGCACCATGAACAACCGCCGCCGTTTAGCACAATCGGGCTGGTGCCTAAAAACTATCTCCACGAGGCCAACTATTTCGCGGCCAACAACTCCGAGGGTGGTGGTGGTGAGGTTGCTGGAAACCCGTTTGATTTTTGTCCAGTGTTTGGGCCAGGGGATGATATTGCGGAGAGGTATGGTGTGATGGCCCTCGCTCAGAGTCGGCTACACCTGGGGAGTGGCGGGAGGATTCACCGTGTCATCCATAAGGCACTCTTGGGTCAGCCTGTAGTCATGAGTGTTTTAGGTGGATCGGGTGAGTTTTTCCTGGGTGTACAAACGTTGCAACTAGCTACCTTGAGAGGTTTGTTTCCTCGAGCTAACGTGCTTCATATGACTAGTATCGGCCTGTCATGGTTCAGGTGACGATCCACTGTCACCAACATGCTATCCATCCCTTTTCTTCCAGTGGTGGTCGAGCGTATTCCCTCATCCCGCTTCTGAGCTCACCAATGGAGCTATGCGCCGGACGAACTCTGGATACTTTGGCTTCTGCAGTGCTCATCACGCTCCTGACAACACTGACCTTATCATATTGGAATTTGACGTCGACGATCCCGGGTAAGTAGTGCATATCTTGTGAGCGTAAATGGTGTCAGTGACGCTTCACTGACGTCCTCGCGTGCCCCAGCGACCAACGCGCCATGGATAATTTCGAGCTCCTTGTTCGCTCCCTACTTGATAGACCCGATCAGCCTGCTGTAGTCATTCTAGGTCATTTCAGCCCCGAGACCCACTCGGCGTACGGCTTTGCTGGACCTGACCATTGGCACAACATAGTCGCTCAGTTCTATGACGTGCCTCATATCAGGTATTTTAGCTCAGTCCAGGATATGCTTGCATAGCGCTCACGCATGCCCTAGTACAAAACCCATTCTCTACCCCTCCTACATGTCCAATCCCGAACTCATCAAACCTTACTACGCAGATGCCATCCTTGCCAGCCCCACAGGTCACGAACTTCTCGCAGATGTCCTCATCTCTTACTTCCAGTCCCAAATCTGTGCAGCATGGTCAACAGCCGGCGGCCACTCTTACGAGACGATCCCTATCATGTTTGCCCCAGGCTATAATCCAGGCGGGGACACTCATCTCTTCGGCGGCATCGGTGCACGTAAAGGCGCTGCTGCCCCTGAGCCCCCCAAGGCCGCCGGCGAGAACGCTGAAGCGGGAAAGAAGCCCGCGCAAGCTCCTGCTCAGGACTCGCATCCTGTACCTATCTACCCGGAGCTCCGTATCCCGCCCGTGCGGATCAATACGCGCCCGCAGTCTTCAAAGCCCTTTGAAGAGCCCGCGCCTTTCTGTGCCTCTGCGAATGACCTTGTGAACCCGGTGCCTCCGTCACTGTTTTATGGCTCGGGGTGGACCGCGGCGCACCCTCCACAGGGCACATCCCCATTATTGACGACTGGTTATTATTGGCACAGCTCGATGCCTCTCAGCAAGTTACGTGTGCCTATCAAGGTGGGAGCTGGAGATGTGGGGATGTACTACTTGAAAGAGCCTATCAGAGATGTGGAGGAGGGAAGCCAGATTGAATGTTGGGTGGACGATAACTTTGGAGGGGCAGTCATCATTGAGAACGCTGGGGATGTCAACAGCCCGGTACCGACGTGCGTGCTTGCTCTAAATTTCGGTGCTGGTTTTCTAACGTTCGTATCTTCTTTCCTCCATAGTCTTGAGATGATTGATCATCACGTCTCGCGTGGCAATCACTATGTCGAGTGTGTGCTCTTGGGCGAGGAAGGACAACCCGTTCCTTCATTCAAGATCATTGGGATTTTCGCAACGTGATCAACACGTGCTGGTGGATCTTGTTGTTTCGGGGACTGTACATTTGACCGCCTCCGATTCTGGGTCCGCTGGGACATTTGGAAACAGACGATCTGCAGTTTATGATAGGTGCTTCACATACAATAGATATGGCTGCCACACGCGGACCCGCATGGACTGCTGTGTAATGTGTCACCCTCTTGGAGTGCTTAGGAGATTAGATCTGCAACATAGCCATCCTTGCGGGGGTGATTTAGTTGAAGTTTCTTTCGAGTTTGGCAAGGAAAGAAAGGATCGATGCGTCACTAGGGGCACAAAAACAAGTTCCAGTCGAGGGCGTTGTGCCTAGTACAAAACTGGGGGGAATAATAAAATCCTGGTAACAAAAGAAACAAGGTATCCTGAAATATCCTGGGCTCACCTGCAAATGTGTGTGCTCGTGTTCTCCCAACAGGAGGCAGTACTCGCGAACCTTGCACTGGGGTTAGGGTTACAGAAGGCCGTGGTGGCGTGAGAAAATGCTGTATCATTGCCCCGCCGCAGCTGAAACGCCGTAAATACCGACTCGGTACCCTTGCCTTCTGCTTTCTTCACAAGTTACCCCGTCCCTTTACTTTACGAACCTTTCACGGACTACAGACGATCTAAATATTTAATCATGAATACCAGAAGGGCACCTCCATCTGGTGAGTCTTGAGAGATTTGCACCGCGAATCGCGGAGTCTTGACCTGTGGACTTTCGGTGTAGGTTCCCCACCTGCATATCGGTACGTTTCGAGGTATTATGGGCGAAATCTGAGGCCTGTCGTCCTCGGAAGTGGGTGGACATACTCTTTTGTGACACCTAGTGTTGATTTGTTGTTGCAGTGTCTGTCGTCACGGCTCTATGGTCTTTAGCATGGTGAGTCTACGTCATTGCATCATAACAGGGCGCTGGTCGCTTAAAGCTGGGCTGCTTACTAGGACTGTGAGTATTGACCAAGACCATCTGAGTACCAACGACTGACCGTAATTCCTAGGTCACATCATTTAAGGAGCTTAAGCTTGACAGAAATGGTACCCCGCAGAAAGCTGTTACCCGAGTCCGCTGAAGCTGACACTTTATCCCCAGATAACTTGCCAATGCTTGCGCCACTGGCCATCGCCCAGGGTGTGATGTTCGCGGTAGCATGTGGTTTCCAAATCTTTGGCGTGACCGCTGCTGCAATGGTACGTTGCACTGCCTCCTTGCCCTCGAGACCGCAGATTACCAACATTATGGGTACACCATGGCTCTATAGCAACGATTCGCTCTTGTCAAAATATACGCCTTCCTATGTGCACTGAGTACACTTCTTGTGGTAGGGGTGGGTTTTATGCGAACGGTGACCCATTTCACTTTCAAGGTAAGCATGCGCCCGCTCACATTAACCATCGGCTGCGATTTTTACGATGGATGCAGGCAGATTTGATTCAAGAGTGTGAAGATGCTGCAAAAAGTGGCACAATCGGATCTGTCAGTATTCCTCCACAGATATTTTCTGAGTTGTGTGGCTGACATCTTCCATAATCTGTAGGTTTTCGGAATCTGGGGTTCAAACCCGTCATCAAACCTCACAACGGACGAAGCCACGAGCTGTGAGTTGTATACTGCTGACTGTTCATTGCGAGTATTCTTAACACTTGGCAGACTGTAACGATCAATGGAATCATGACTCTTGGGCTGAAATCATTGTCCTTTTAGTCGAGATAGGTACGCCACGTCCTTTCCTGCAGTCTCTATTCCTGACCATCCATCAACGCGCAGTCCTTGGACTCCTGTTCACATCGATCGCGTTCGCATACTACCGCCAGACACTTGACCCAACCAGCCCCATCAACGCCTCCCGTGCACCTTCGAACCAAGTACGCATGGACGATTACCCCACACATTACAGCCCCCCGTACGACACTACGGCCTACGCACCAGCCTACGCGCCGCCACCAGGGTCGCCTCCTTTCGATGGCAAACCACCTGACTACAAGCGCGGGTCATACGTTTCGTATGGTGAAGACAAGGACGGGAAAGAGGATGATCCCTTCTCGGATTACGATGGACCAAGCGTGCCCATGCCGACGCACTGGGCGGAGGAGAGGGATGTTACATCGTCCAGGGCTTGAGCGAACTGGAGTGATGGGATGGTTTTCTACTTCTTGTTGCATTTTTGACGGGACTTTTTTTTCTCTCGATAATATGTTGGCTCTGCTATAATCTCTCTTACTATATACTGGCCCGAGCTGAAGTGATCACTCGAATCAACTCATTTGTCTGCCCGATGCCAACGAGAGGAGCGATGTGCATACTGACCTCCTCGGTCAATGTTTTGCTGTGGCCGTTACATGGGATGCAATAGAAGTAATAAGATGTGAAAAAGCATGTCGATAGCCATAACGCAAACAGCCCCCCGCCCCCCTCTGAGTGCCTGCAGCCAGGGAGTTTATTTACTTCCGGCCACCGGTCTTCTGGCTTTTGATGACCTTCTTCACGATCTTTGCCTCCTCTACCAAGAACGCCCGGAGAATGCTGGGAGGGGGGTAATTATTCACATAGGTTAATGTGTCTAACGAGGCGGTATGAAGACATACCGTAACTTCACGCAGTCACCGCATCGCGAACCACCGTATGCCCGACGAACGGTCTTTTGGCGTTTCGAAATCGTTGCATATTGGCGGGGGCGCAGAGCAGGGACCTAT